TAACAGAACCGAGAGCCAACCCGCAAATTGTCCGCTAAAAGACCTTCCGAAACGGACTGCGAAAGGGGCAGAGAGAGAACCAACGAAATCCTCTCTCTCTCTCTCTCGCTCTCTCTCGGCGTCCTTTTTCCTCTTTTTTTAGTTCTTTGTTTTCCTTTCGTTCTCTCAGCTCGATCTCCGAGCTGAGTTGGGCACTTTTCGAATGATTCGAATACATTTTTGAAGTATCATTCGAATATATTCGTCGAATGATATTTGATTCATAATAAATTCGTCGAATGATATTCGATTCATAATGAATTCGTCGAATGATATTCGATTCATAATGAATTCGTCGAATGATATTCGATTCATAATGAATTCGTCGAATGATATTCGATTCATAATGAATTCGTCGAATGATATTCGATTCATAATGAATTCGTCGAAAGATATTCGATTCATAATGAATTCGTCGAATGATATTCGATTCATAATGAATTCGTCGAATGATATTCGATTCATAATAAATTCGTCGAGTGAATTCTTCGAATACAATTTTATTCGTATCAATTCGTCGAATGAATTCTTCGAATACAATTTGATTCGTATAAATTCGTCGAATAAATCCTTCAAATAAACTCTTGGCACAAATCCTTCGAAAAAAACATCGAATAAAATATGAAAAGCATCCGAAAAATCGTGCGTCGCGTCAGAGGAAGCACGTCGCGCCCAGCAGACCGGACGTCGAAAGTGGAAGCAAACGTGATTGACCGTTTTCCATCCGGGATCCGGCGGGTCAGAACCGACCCTGGCCTAGCCGGTGGGTGGCGAGCGGTCCCGATTAATTTTTCACGGAAACGTTCGGAGCCGCGTCGATACAGCAATCGGCAAGGGTGGCGTAGCGGGACGGGGGTGTGTCCGCGGATCGATTTATCGCAAGAACTGCGCCGACACTAATTAACCGATACACGTAGCTCTGTGTATCTGGCCGGCAGGAAAAAAGTGGTTTCAGCGAGAGCGCCGATTCTAGGGCATGTGCAGAGGCAGCAGCGCGCAACAAGGCCCGGCCAGCCGAGGCTATTGTCCGTGGCTGAATAAGCTCTTTGTCCGGGCACATGGTGCTCCCGACGACGATGTCGATGCCGGGTCGGCCCGGTCCAGGTTCTCCCACCTAAGCCGGGCTAACCTCGAGGAGAGGAGAGCCAGCCCTGTGGCTCGTGGTTCGTCGTCGTTCTCTCGCCTCGTCGAGGTGCCCCGAAACACGCGCTCTCCTAATGTACAGTTCGCCGATGTATAGGCCCCGGCCGAGTAACAGCTGTCGTCGTTAGCCTACCTACCTACCTACCCACCTTCGGCCGAGGCTAGCACCTGGCTCGATCACGGCGACCCGCCCTTGTGGCCCCGCTAACTTGTTAGTCTCTCAGGATAAGCCTCTCGGCAGCTCCAGCCTTTTCGGTCGCTGTTCGCAGAATTCAGCATTGCGGCCCGGATTGGGACGTTTGGTGACGTTTGTACGCGACCTTCGAACCGTGAGAGATACTGACATAATAGGGATTCCATAATGTGCTGACGTTATGTGACCACTTGCTTGAAAAATATGAAAAATATGGGAGATATATTACTTTTAGTATGCGGTATTTTTTTTCAATATATTATATATTTTCAATATATTTTACTATTAATATGCTACTTTTGTATTACTGTATTATACTGTTTATGCATTGATTTTATATTATTAGTATACTGTGTTATAGTAATATATTAATGCTGTTAGTATATTAGTTTTATATTGACATTATAATATATTATGTTAATATAGATTGTACTGTTAATGTATTACTTTCATATTACCAGTGCAAAATATATTGTATTATATACTTATATTATACTAATATATCGGTACTGTTAATATATTAGTATTATGTTACCATTATAATATGTTATATTAATATTTTATACCATTGATATATTACTTTAATATTGCCATTATAATATATTATATTAATAAGTTACACTATTAATATATTACTTTAATATTGCCACTATAATATATTATATTAATAAATTGTACTATTAAAAAATATATTACTTTCATATTGCCATTATAATATATTACAATAATATATTACCTTTATATTATTATTATAATAATATATGATTGATCAGAGAAGT